GCTATAGAAAACAACTAAATCATATAGTTTAGTCCTTTTGTATCCAACAGTTTCCTTTACACTGACTTTTCTGTTACAGGAAACTGGAATTATTTTTAAATGCTTCTCCCAGAACATTATTCCCCATAGTATTACTCTCTTACCTTCATGAAAATAAGAATCACTCCTCTGAAAAGCCTATTTTCCTAAAGCATTTCAAATTCTACTAAACTACCTCTTATGATAGTTTATTATATGAAGAAGCATTCATTTTCCTTGCTGTAAAGTTAACTGACATTAAGGATTTAGTTTTTAAGGTATATCCTTTAGGACACTGTAACTAAAGAGAGGACCTTAAAAAATATACATAGTATGTTTTAACAGAATGGTTTCTTCTCTTTCATCTGTGACCCTCAACAGCAAATGAACCTTCTCACTTATTCACTGCACCTCTACCCAGTCATTTCACTTTTGTAAACCCTTCTCAGCATGAGAAGGATTACACACTGTAATAAAGCCATAAAAAGGGAACAGAATCCCACACTCTGGTCTCTTTTACAGCATATTTATATTTTCCTTGCAGACACAAACCTCTATCTGCAGAAAACCAAATGATGCTTCTATTTCAATAATTCATCAATACAACTCACATCTAATTTCTCAGCCATTCCTAAGTGTCCCAAAACAAACATTGCTATATTCTGATAAGGTACAAATCTTCTGACAATCAAGCTTAGTAAATAAACTGCTTTACCCTCTCTGACACCAACTGTTTTAAGGGATTGACAGTGGGTTTTTCCCCATACCTTTACCAGGTTTGGTTAATAAAAACTGTGTCATTTATAACTACACCTTTGTCATATATGTGTGGGATACTGTGCCAACACCACTCTCTAATCATTCATGACCAACAAAAGCCCAACCAGAGGATGCTCAGAAGGTGCTTGGGATTATTGACAAAACACATGGTATTAGGTAAAAATATTTAAAGCCAGCTTTGTGTCATCAGTAAACAACTACAGAATTATTGCACCAAAGAGGCCCAAATACCTAAGAAGCAAAGCTACCATTTTAAATCAAGATTTCCATGAAATAAGATACAAACATAGTGGCAAACTGTGGAAAAATATTATCTTTGGCTTACTGGCTTGCAATATAAACATACATCTCTTCCATTGAGAGAACTCATTAAGACTTCCTGTTATGAAGTGGCTTGGCTTAAATAAACCAGGGTGGAAAACAGTGTGTACGTAGGCAGGAGGAGGAGAACGAAATTAAGCAACAGAGTTCAAAAAAAAGCAGGTTCACAGGCTGGAGAGTCAGTGACCAGAGTCCAAGCAGGTTGCCAGTCCAAGCAGATTTGCCAAAATGAGGTGGTTTTTAATCAGAGAGTTCCCTTGCACGGGGACTTAAAGCCCATGGTTAGGAGAGAAGCTACAGAACTTGTCTCACCCGACTTCAGTGGGGCTTTTGGTGTGCTGGAACATCTGTAGGATCTGGGTGAAACTGTTTCAAACAGGTCTTTAGCTTCACAGCAGAGGACCGGACTCTGAGCAGTAAAGATTAATTCACAGTGATTTAAGACAACACACAGGTGGGCTCTGATAGTATTAAGAATATTCACTACTGGTTCAGACATCAGAAAAGGACCTCCCTGCACAAGCTTCACACCAAGAGCAGCAGGGTAAGATCTGAAAGCAGAGAGACTTAAGTAGTGGATCAGGAAGGCCTTAAACAATTCACAGCAATAAAAACCAAATGCAAACTTCTACTCTTTGGTTAAGGAGGCTCCTATATAAACTCAGGATAAATGATCAATCAATAAAGCATCTTCTACAAGAAAAAGATTAGGGGGTTGTGACAGGTTGTACCTGAATCTGAAAGTAAGAGAACAAAGTCACTCATTTAAAAGGTAAGGTGAGATAAGCAGGTGAGTTACACTGTTCTTCATTCCCTGTGTGACAGAACAGGGAGGCAAGAGCTACAGAGAAAAGGAAACCTCAGAATTAATTTCAAACGAACATTTTGTCAGCTCAAAGAGAGAAATTTTCTCCTCCTGTCACTTCTTGGTTGTGCCAATTCAGTAGTGAGGGCACACAAAGGAGGTTGATAACGTGACTGGGCTAAAAACCTTTCTCACAAGTATCAGAAGACAGCCACAGCAGCACAGCTCCCGTGTTCCCTCTGGCACAGAGTCACCGTATCCTCCACAAACTAAAAACCTTTTCATAACCACATTTTAGCCCTCAAAATCATGAAGTTTGACTGGTGTAATTGGCAGGTCAGCTGACAGCACAACTTTACAGCAACCAAACAGGTGCACACATAAGAAAGTGGCACACTGGAGTGTCAGATCTTAAATAATTTTGCTTTAGGAATGGTCCTTTAGTCATTTGTACATGAACATCCACCAGCAAGGAACAGAAAAGGGCCTACTCCTCTTACAGTTAGTTACTACAGAAAAAAACATTTTAAAACACTCTTTTTTCCACTGAACACAAGCAGGGTAAGATTTAACTAGAAAGGGCAGGTCTGGGTCAGCCTTTGATTTAGCCACTTAACAAAAATTCTTATTCTTTGTATGTCAAATCAAATATTTTTCAAAGGAAAACAGCTTCTGTGCAAAAAGAGCAATTGTACAATGTATTTCTGGTGCCATCACTTTAATTCCTTTTACTACAGAGGGCTCAGCACCATTAATCACAAGCAAAATATTAGAACATCTCCTTCTAGTGTCCCCTTAAAAAAAAAATAAAAAAAAAAAAGACAAGTGACTCGCTCTTTAGAAGTTAAATTTAAATACCAGACAGCCATGTGTCTTCAGGAGAAATTATACAGCTGCACACAGAGAATTACTGCTGTTCCAAAGGGACCCAACTGAAGAGACAACTCTCAAGCAGCCCCTGCCTACAGCCACTTGTTTCTCCCTCAGTGCCACCACCTCTGTTGTGCCAGCACAGGAGCAGAGCTACTCCAGCTTAAAAACAACCACGTCTCCTCATTTATTTTCCTTGCTGTATCAGTTCTGTGACCCAGCAGCCAGAAGCTGTGTCATCCCTCCAGCCCCAGCAGCTCAGGGACAGGAACAGCTGTGTAGGTGCCCAGGTGGTTGCTGAGGAGAGGCCACGCTCTCAGCCACAAGTTCCTGCTTCTGTGTCACATCAGATCTGTCACAAAAAAATCCTGTTTGTTGAGGAAACTTTAAAGGGTTTGGAACAATGTGCCAGGCGTCTTGTATTTGACATAAAAAGGATAGAAACATTCAGAGCTATCAGACAGGACAGAACTGGCCCTCCTGCACAGCCCAGCCCACAACTGAGAGCTGCTCCTATCCCAGTGTAACAGGCCCACATGGTGTGACCAGCTTCTCCTGCTGCTCGGGGAGAGGCACAAAGGAAAGTGGAGGGGAATGTGGCTGACAAACCCAGGACAAACATACCTACCCTCTGTTTGAATGTAAGCATGACAAGTTGCTAAGTTTTTCCTCTAATCCCCTTTGGACAGATTCCTTTTCTGCCCAGTCCATTGTGAGGACTGGCTGCCTTCCTTCCACTCCCTTCTGCCACAACTGCAAGCACTGCATGGAAGCCTCCTGACAGTTCCTGGTTTAACAGCACCTAACCCAAGCCAGGAAGTACAGCCAACAACAAGACTTTCATTTTCCTACTCCCTACTTTATGTATTCACTTTTTCTTATCTTCACTGAGTGTTCCAAGTTTAGATCCATTTATGTAAAATGCATAGAGACACACAATACCATTTCCAGGAAAAAAAGGCACTATCCTGACAAATAATATCTGCAGTTCTTCCCTTTCGGATGCACAATCCATAAGAATTACCTATTTGTATCTCTTAAATCTAAAATCAACACTGTGTACACATCATATTATTACTATATATATTACTATAATATTACATATTATTAAGAGAGGTACTTTTGTTTGAAAACTGTTTAAGCTTCTATTATCAGGCTGCTGTGACTGACCAAATGCTACAGCAGTGAATACTGTTGCCATTCAATCACATAATGACAACAGTTACACACATAGTTTTCACAAGAGCAATGCAATTGTTAACAGTGACTGCGACACTAAAGCATGCAAACAAAACACAGAGTGTGGCAAATGTCTGACTTAACCATAATAGTGTGACACCAGCACGAAAAGGCATCAGTGCAATTTTAATGTAAACAGGATCTTGGTTTTTAGATCAGTCAAACTGTAAAACACATGACGCTGGTGATTCCTTTTCCCTCTCCCACTTTTTGTTAACAGCAATGTCACAGTCAGCTGAGTAAAGGCACTGGGCTGCTTCTCCACTGCTCAACCCAGAGGGTACGACCTACAGTATGGGATAGAGACAAATCCACCAGAACTGTTCCACGTTGTCGGGACTCCCCCATCCCAGGGTTGGGGCCACCGCGGCCTCGAGCCTTCCCTGCCTTCCCACCACACTCTGTGAGCAGCCACACAGCTCTGGGGCTGCTCCAGCTCCCGGGGATGGCCCTCCAGGCCAGCGTGGCACAGCACCCTGCGACTGAGAGCGGCGTGTCTGCCTTTGCTGCCGCTGACACGACACGGTCCACCTGCGGTAAAACAGCCCGGCCAAACCCGCGACTTCTGTACATCCCAAACCCGAGTGACACTGCACACACCGCCTACCTCATCCTGCCGGTTGAATTCAGAGCAGGACACACACCCCCTCGCCCCCGAAGCGCTAAACTGCATCAGCACGGGTGCCGATCTTAGCAAGGCAAGTTTCAGAAAGTGCAAGGACTTGCCCCGCGGTCCCCGAGGCCTCCCCGCCCGGCCCCGTTCGGCTCTCCCGGCCCCACAAAGCGCCGGCGCTGCGCTCCCGAGGCCGCCGCGGCCCCTCCCGGCCGGGAGCCCGGGACAGCCCGGCCCTTCCCGGGATAAGCTCGGGGCACCGTAGCGCGGCCGCGGCCCCACCGCCGACCCCGATCCCTCCTCGGGGACACCCCCCCCCGGGCGCTCCCGCCAGGCCGCGGCCCCGCCACTCACGCATGAGGGTGCTGAAGGCCACGACGCCCAGGAGCCCCTGCAGGAAGATGCCGAATCTGTCCATGAGGGCGCCGTTCTCGCAGCCGCGGTCCCCGGGCCCCGCCGCCGCGCCGGGGCTGGCGGTGAGGCCGAGGCTGCCGTTGGGCGGCGGTGCCCCCATGGCGAGGCCCGGCCGGCGCCCGCTCAGCGGCGC